AGAGGTGGGTAGTAAAGAATTGCATTTACTTCATTACATTTACTTGAGCAAACTAGTAGGGTCATGTGTACTTTTCTAGTACATTTAAAAATGTGTATTATTACTCAAGCAAATAAGAGAAAAATCATAACTCTTGCTTTGTACATTTGGCGGCTTTCCTCCATAACTGTTAAATGATAATAAATACAGTGTGATTGATATGACTTGTTTGCAAATATGTGTCGCGAGAGGTTGCTATAGAGAGTTAAATGGTAACTATGGAATAACTAAAAAAACTGCTGCTTAATTAAATAAATTATTAGCACTGTACATATTAGTCATTCACCATAAAAATATATTTTTTTACATTAAAATGGTGTGTATAGTATATATATATATATATACACACACACACACACACACACACACACACATACATACACACACACACACACACACACACACACACACACACACACACATATATATATATATATACATACTGTATAGACCAGTGGTTCTCAAACTTTTTTCACCAAGTACCACCTTAGAAAAAAATCGTCTCTCCAAGTACCACCTTACGACGCTATTTTTTAACCAGTATTAAAAAATAGCGTCGTAAGCCTAATTAAGCAGCTACAGGTGTGCACAGTTTTAAAACGATGCAGATTACTTCCTATTAGTAAGAATATGTATTATTGTCAGTCACTTTAAACATTTGAAATAGTCTGAACATTAACTGTGCTTGCAGATAAAAAAAAAGTTTTAGTTAAAATGTGCTTTTAAAAATTCATTAAAAAATGGCGCTGTTCTTAATGTAAAAAGAAAACTGCTGTACTTAAATCTAAAGTATTCATAGTAGCCTATTCATCAAAAGCTGGAGATGCTGCTTGGACCTTATAAATATGGGCTATATGTTATATTCATACACTTTCAGACAAATCTTGAAATAAATGTTAAATGTACATGACAGGATTCATACAGGCACAGCATAATGAAAATCAATTCCAGCACCTATTTTTTTTTTCAAGACTGACATGCTATGTATTGAAGACCTGAAATGTATTCTCAGCAACCCATAAAACATTGCATAGGAATAGATACAAATAAAAACTATTAATAATAATATTTATTAATCATATATTAATAGTATAATAAACCTGCACTAAATGCTTGTGAAATCTTTTTTGTACTCAAGTAAAAATACTATTACACTGCTAAAATAAAAATTTTTTTTAGTAAATAATACTAATATTAGGTAAAAGTACAAATTACTCTTTTAAAAAGTACTAGTTGGTTACTTTTGAAAAAAAAATCTGATTTTCCTTATGAAATCACTTTTTTTTTAAGTGTAAACCTGATTTAATGGTTTGATTGCTTACATCCCAAAGCTACGTGTATAATTTGCACTAACAAAGGAAGTATAGTCAATTTTTCCTTTCATGACAATTAATCTTTTTCAATAGCACTGGTAAAACTACCAAATAATCTTTAAGGCCATAGAGACACTTTTTGCCCATTTTTAAACAATATATATTTTTAAGCTTTGAAAGGTTAAATTAAAGTATATGGTAAAAAGATTTCAATTTAGCCTTTTATTTACATATTTTACACTATTTTCTTTACAATATGGCAAATTTGTTTCTTAAATAGCTGTACATCACATGTAGATTTTATTTTACACTTGATCTTAATCTAAAATAGAAACGTAAAAAAATACAAGTACACTGTCAGTAAAAAAATAAAACAAATGACTTCATTTTACTTGAGGTATTTGAAATATGACGACACTACATTTATCAAAGCAGTGCTTTAAGAGCCTTATTGTAAATTGTGATAAATAAACAATAAGTAGGCTAACAATGGATTGCTTTGACCTGTAATGCTTTGGGACAGATCAGATTACAGCTAAATGTATAAATCACACAAATACCTCATCCAGAAACATTTCCAGCATAATTATTTTGTCGTAAAGAAATAAAAAATGTTCCACCTTTGCTAAAAGTAAGTTTCACTTCACAATACAGCCAAATAAGAAGACCATTAGCATTGTCATCGATCATGCATCAATCTATTTCTAAATATTTGATAACTTTGAATACTTTTGACTAAATTTAGTTAAGGAGCAAAGATAAATAATGTCTACTTTAATAGTGGAAAGATCGCGATTGTATTCTATCTGAGCACACAGGCGATCATGAGAGCACTTGCAGTTCATTTGAAAAAAGCCTATTTAAGAGCTCGCATATCTGTTTTAGCGATTTGCGTACATGAATGCGCTCTCGTGTTAAAATAAAGCACTCGCCGCATTTGCAGAAATGAGTAATTGCGCAATACCTTCATTCCCGCGCCGCCATTCAGAATGTATTTAGAGGAGTGACAGGTCAGAGGCGAGTCGACTGGCTGTCGGGAGAGCGAAACGTGTATGAAGATCATCAAATAGGCAGGAAATATGTCCGCGGTTTAATTACTCTGCTAGACATCTCTGTAGTGAAAACATCCGAGAAGCATTATTCCAACAAAACATTTGTTTTTAAGTTGTTTTTTCTGTCTCTGCAACACAGAAAGCCTTTGTCCCGCCCTTACGTTTCACGCAACTAGACAAGGTCGACTGTGATTGGCCACTTTTCATATCAGTCAAATCACGCTTCAGAATCAATTCTTAAACTTCGGAAACTGATTTTCAGCAGCTTATGACACAATGCACTAAAATAAACATTCTAAGCACAGCGTTGTGATCGTACGCTTCACAAAACAGCCAATGCTGATCACATCAATGTTATATTACGCATTAAAGGATTAAAAGTGTTAATTGTTTCTTTCATTATTCAGCGATTCCTCCGCGTACCACTAGGAGGAAGCCCGCGTACCACTAGTGGTACGCGTACCACAGTTTGAGAACCACTGGTATAGACCATTTTAAACTGTATATACAAGTCAGAATTATTAGCCCCCTGAATGTTTTTCCTCCATTTCTGTTTAACAGAAATATTTTATCAGCATATTTCTATAGTTTTAATTATTAATTTCTAATAACTGATTCCTTTTATGTTTGTCATGATGACAGAACATAATATTGGACTAGATATTTTTCAAGACACTAGTATTCAGCTTAAAGTGACACATAAAGGCTTAAAGTTGATTTGGCAAGTGAGGGTAATAAGGCAAATCATTAATGATGGTTTGTTCTGTAGACAATCAAAAAATATTCCTTAATTAATTCCTTAACAGTATATAGCAAGAGAGCAAGATGGGTGATTGCCCACATTGCCCATGCCTAAAACCGCCACTGATGAAAAGTAACTAAAAGCTTCTAATGAGTAATTTTTTCATCAGATACTTTTTTACTCTTACTCGAGTAACTTTTAAGATTGTTACTTTTAATGGAGTAAAAATTTCCGCAAGTATTTGTACTTTTACTCGAGTATAGATTTTAGATACTCTACCCACCTCTGCTTAAACTATATATTGTTCAGCCCTCGCATCTACCCTTAAACTAAACCCGCACAGGAAACATTTAGCATTTATACATTTTCAATATACTTCATTCTGTGTGATTAATGAGCCTTTTTCCTCATACGGACCAAAAAGTCCCCAAAAGGTAAAGATTAACTGGTATTGCTATACTTGACATTATACATAGACATTTAGAACCCACAAAGTAAAAATATACAAGTATGCACACAAACACACTCATGCAAGCATTAAACATATAAGCAACCATACAAAAATGCAATGCTGAGGTAATTCCTAGAGTAGCACTTTCTGAATGGCTTCCTGAACACACTGGTTTGTGTTCAGCATCACAAAAAGACCATTGAGAACCACTACTGAAAATGAAACAAAAGCAAACACTGGATGAGGTCCAAATAACACAACGAGAGGCACTGGTGCACTCAGGAACTCCAACCCTCTAAAAAGCACATGCAAATATGGCTGATATACATGCTGTAATGTACATGCTTCTTGCACCTCGATTTTTGTTTCGCTTTGAGAAAAAAATTATGCTCAAGCAAATTAACTTGAGCTGTTTTCTTTTCTTTTTTTTTTAAATATGAAAGGTAGGCTCTGTGATTGTAGAGGAGGCTGTAATTTTGTTCCTCCACATGAAAGAGAATCACATGACAAAGACACACCCACTGATGATGTCATGTTATTATGTACACACAGAGCCGTAAATCAGCAGAAACACCTGTAATCGGAGTCTGTCTGTAGACTACAAATAACAGGGAGCGTCTCTAAGGGCTTATCTCTGAGAATGATAGTGTTGGAGGGAGCAGTTTTAAAGTGATATCATTTAAATTTGCAGCCGAAGAAATAAGAAGTTTAGGAAGCATTGCATTAGCTGGGTATTCTTAAAGGGATAGCAACTTCAAAAACTTTCCAAAGCCACAAGCCTTTATTTTATGTTCTGAACACAAGATAATTTAAATTAAACTGAGAGATTTTGTCTCTCCATTGAAAGTTTTTCCCTGAAAGTCTTCTAATAAACTTCATTAAAAGAAAAAAAAAAAACATGCCCATCTTTCATCAAGAATTGTAAACGAAGAATTTTTAGTCTCCTGAAGAGACTTTATAAAATGAACAGATTTAAATGTACATATGTGATCCTTGACAACAAAATTAGTCTTAATTTGCTCCTGTTTATTTATTTTACAATATATGTATATGTGTGTGTATGTGTGTGTCTGTTTGTGTCTGTGTATATATACACTGGTGTGTGTGTGTGTGTGTGTGTGTGTGTGTGTGTGTGTGTATAGTTATATTTGAGAAATAGAGATTTGGGTAAAAAACTATTTTTAAAAATTGAGAGAGAAATCTGAATCAAATCAATCAAATTTGTTTCAAAATCTCTTCATTTGTGTTCAAAAGATGAAGCGTATGGGTTTGGAATGGCATAAAAATGATAAGGAATTAGTTTCCATTAAAATAAAATTCTTTCCTTATTTAAAGACCACAGATAATGCGTAATGTATAATTAATCTTCTGCCAAAGTAGAGCATTTTGCATTGACAGTTTACCTGGGAGTATGTTATTGACAGCTGTGGCGATGTTGATGTCTTGCAGGTGGTCGAGAGTCTCGGTGTGGAAGAGTCGAAGGGTTGAGCCGGTGCTGAAGGATATCCAGATACCCACTCCAGCCACCACCATGTGGGACACGATCATTCCTTCTTCCTGATGGGCTTCAAACTGACGCTGTAAACACATGCACACGTGCAAATTTTCAAGCATTTACAATACTTTCATCCACCAGATACTGGCTGGTGTAGACTAAAAGTAAAAAACACAGATCTGACTTCGCATGGCTTACTTTATGGAAAAGTCAAGTACAGTGAACTAAGGAATGAGGTAACCCCAAAAAAAGCCCAAGAAGGAAAAAGAGACTCAGATCTGACCCACTTAACTCGGGAAAGGAGTGGATGAGATTTAAATTTTGATATACTACAGCTTGACATCTTTACTGAAGCAAATAAAATAACACAGGACTGTGATGGGAAATTTAATAGCATTTGACAAATGAGTGTCCCACTAGAACATCAAAACCACAACATTATTAGACAGTCTGGCTCTGGAATTTGTGATTTTTAGTTAATTAAAAATGATCTGAAATGATCTATTTGGTAAGCTGATCTGCATCTCTTTCAAGCGTACAATCAAATATTCGTCCTTTACACTTGCTTTCATTTTAGCCAATGGTTTAACAGTCAGCAAAGCTGTTGAAAGATAATTAGCTTAGTAAAGCTGGCTGGATAACAGGTCAGTGTGTCAGTGTCTGTGTGTAGGACGGAGAACACATGGCTTTAATATTCTGAGATCACGGCAGGCCGTTGTGCTGTGACAGAGTAAAGAAGAAACTGAGTTTACTCTCTCTTTTAATGTACATTAGATAGCTGTTAGAAACATCACATTAGATCAACAATACTCTTAAATGAGCCAATAATAGTCAAAAGCCCATCGCCATGCCATATAAAAACATAAGCAACAGCACACTTAGTTGAAAGTGTAGTCTAAAAACAGTATACTGGTGTTTCCACTTTGGGCAGAGCCAAAAGTCTTAAAATGTGTTTTTGTACAAGTAAAAAATAAATAAACTGCATGCTTGAGAATCCTCCTATTATGTCAAACATTTGGGAGTGACACCCCCATATAAATACAGGATTCACAATCCAAAAATATTAATCGTAATCTGACACAATGGATAAGATATAAACATAGTTTGTTAAAATATGCGAGTAAAATATGTCCTTAAAAGATTTAAAAAAAAAGAGCTCAATTTCAAAATGTTTTTGTGATAATTTTGAAAACATTGGTAAAAGTATAAAACAGCAAATCTGCTATTTTTGTTATGGTGGTACATACCTTCTTAATATTAATTAGTTTTCATTCATTCATTCATTCATTCTCCTTCGGCTTAATCCCTTATTTATTAGGGGTCACCACAGGGGAATGAACTGCCAACTATTCCAGCATATGTTTTACGCAGTGGATGTGCCATTTCCAGCTGCAACCCAGTACTGGGAAACACCCACACACACTTATTAACACACATACACTTAGCCAATTTAGTTCATCCAATTAACTTAGGCACATTTCTTTGGATTGTGGGGACACCAGAGCACCCAGAGGAAACCCACGCAAACACGGGAGAACTGTGAGGCGACAGTGCTAACCAACCACTGAACAATCGTGCTGCCCATATTACAGTAATTAGTATATTTTTATTAATTAATTAACTAAATATGTTGTACTGTATTTGCAGTCATAGTTTTTAAAGACTTTTTTTTACTGATTTTGAACAAAACCTTGTAGTTTATTTAGTGCTATGTATTTTATTGAAACAATAATACAAAAGAAATGTTATTTTCTTTGAAGTAGTGAGTTTTTCTTTGTGTTGTACTACATGTCTTCTTTTGTTGAAGTTCTCTTCTTTCCTTTTTCTCTTCTTTCCGCCTCTATCTGCTGTCTTTCTGACAGGTTTCATTATGAGCGCACAGGTGCGGTGAATCAGGTGTCGACACATAGAAATTTGTTGGCGTGCTGGTGAAGTTCATTTAAACCGGACTGCAAGATCATTCGGAGAGTCTCTTCTCTGTCAGTTTGTTTTGTTTATTTGTAAAACCTATGTTGTATTTGCTCTGGGACATTGTCGAATTTAACGCTGAGTGTTTATTACTAAGATCAATGACGCATGTCATGGAGACGCATGTGATGAGGAGTGCCTTTTAGTTGTATTAAGTTTTCTCATGTTTTGTGGTTAGTAGGGAGGTAAGTGAATGTTGTTTAATTTATGTGCAGGTAAGAGGGTTTAAGACTTACCTGTTGAGTTTTTTTGTTTGTTATTTTGACTTTACCTCCGCAAGGTTTTTATGTCTTCTTTAAAGTACAATTTTGAATAAATCTGACCTTATGTTACTTCTTTGGTCAATCGTCCTTGTTGTTGTTTTCTTTTGAACGACAGATGAGACTCCGGGCTCCTCATAAATTTTAGAGGTGTCCCATTTAATTTAATTAATTTAATTTAATTTAATTTAATTTAATTTAATTTAATTTAATTTAATTTAATTTAATTTAATTTAATTTAATTTATTGTTATGGGTCTGTCTTGCTTTTTGGAGGCAAAGTTAGATGACAGAACAATTAGAACTGTTGATAAAATCTGGTGTCAATGCAATGAAGTGTTATAAAAGTGCTTTATTACCTCCACCGTGTTTGTCTGTGTGCTGATGATGAAGATCTGTCCTCCTGATGAAGCCCAGATGTGTTCGCTCACCACCAGTAGAGCTTTAACCGGCAACACCCCCAGCTTCAACACACAGGCCCCCGACTCGACCCAGAAGCCGTCTGTGAGGGCAATAAAACACATGAAGGAAATCTCAATCTCACATATTAATGTTTAAAAAGCAAAGAGTTGATAAGATCTTGTGAACGTCGAGAGCAACAAAATTCAGGTCAAATGTTACAGCTGATGTCACACAAAGGGAAGGGTAGATACTACTTCCTGTGATGACAAAACAGTAAAAACACTTTTACATTAAAGCCATATGAGGAAGGAAAAAGTGTCTGGGGCAGCTATACAGTGTTCTAATGTTATGGTTGTTGTTATTTTGAACATTTGAGAGGGTAAAAATAAGAACTGTAATAATTAAAACATGTTGATAACATTGTCTATGACCCACAATAAGCTTTGTTAATAGCGGATAGCCTGCATCTGCTTCTGCCTATATCATCCCTCACTGCAGTGTATTTGAGCAGATCTTTATTCAGCTTGTTTGCCTCAAGAGGCTCTGATTACATAACACCAGCGCCTACACAGTGTCCCAAACTCTCTCTCTCTATCACTTTGCTCTTGTTCAAACAGTCAGCAATGGGGGAAAAGGAGAAGTGCTCAAATGAGGACTTACATTTTAATGACTAAATGTAAATTTTTACATTGGCCCTGAAGTCTTTCTGTATTCAGTTGACAGACTAAAATGTAAATTAACATTTACATTTAATCATTTAGCAGACGCTTTTATCCAAAGCGACTTACAAATGTGGACAAGGAAGCAATTTACACAACTTTAAGAACAACAATGAATAAGTGCTGTAGGCAAGTTTCAGGTGTGTAAAGTCTAAGGAAAGCATTAGTAATATAAGTTTTTTTTTTTTTTTTTTTTTAGTACAGTTAGTGGTATAGCCAGAGAGGCAATTGCAGATTAGGACATTTTTTGATTCAGAATACTAGCTTCCTGATCTGATAATGCTTCCACATGATGACATTTCACTGTGTTAATGTATTCAAAGGAAATGCAGTATTTATGCCGTATACACCAAGTAAGCATCCAGAGTAGCCTAAAACATCATAGAAACCACCTAGATCACAGCAAGCAACAGTTTAGTTACTAACAATGGAGAGTACCATAATAACCCCAATTTTAAGCATTTTTACAGGCACTAACTAGGCCTTCTTAAGTCAGTATCAAAGTTTGCCTTTTCTAACTTTACAATACAGAAATATAAATTTGAAAAAACTGTAACTTTTGTTAATAAAATAAATAAATAAATAAATAAAATACATATATAATTATAAAACAAACAAAAAAATAAAAATAAAATCAATAAAAAATAAAAATTACATAAAAAAATAAATAAATCAATACTTATTAAATATCAGTGTCTCAGGCAGAATGAAACTGGGCAGAGAGCAAAATGGAATAAAAATGTTCCAGAGAGAAAAAACAGCTGTGGAAAGAATTAAAGAAAGACTGGGAAAAATATTTTAAAACATCTCACTTTCCTTGAGAACTTTCCAGAGCATTCCCTTTCTGAACGCAGCTCAGACCAGTGCTGATTCTGAATCTGAGATTATACTAGTTACCTACTAACACAAGCACCACCAAAACTTAGCATTTGGTGGTTTTTCAAAGAAAATCTTACTAGTTACTGAAAAAAATGTATCCTATTTTATTCAGTATGTATGCATGGATTAATTTTTCTAGTACCAGACAAAAAAGCCGTCCAACTAAATTAAACCCAATAAACTCCTTACCATCAGTTCTGGAGTAGATGACCAGAGAACCACTAACTAGACCTGCATACAGACACCCACTCGTGTACACCAAACACGTGACGCTAGACTTATCAGGAGAGAAGAAGTGCTGCAGGCGAACTTTCTTAGAGCGCTGGCTGCTCTTATAAACAGATATACTGAAAAAGAAAGCATCGGATCATCAGATTAGACTCTCTAGGCAAGTTAATAAAGGCCATCACATCATCCTTATCGTTTAAATGTTATTTGTGTATGGATTTTGTAACATACACACCTGCCTTCCTCCATTCCCAAACAGACAGTTGGCATATCACAGGCATTCCGATTCTCAGGTTTTCCCTCACCGTTCTTTAGTGGCTCATCCAACGGAACATGCGTCATACAGAGAATACGCGACTCGACATTAAAACACTCCGTCACTTTAGGATTTGAGTTTTGCAGTGCCACAATGGACACCTGACCCATGTGATTGGTGCAACTCGCCACCTGCAAAAAAAATTGAGATTTCATAATTTACTTAACAATTCTCAAGCTACATCTGAACTGCCAAACAAAATTGATCTGAGTACTAAAATTAAAGGCTTTTCCAGAGATGAGGTCTCAGATTGATGGGAGACACGTTGAGTGCTCTTAAAGGAATGTAGCTGGGAATGCTTTATTACCTTCTAGATAGTAAATACAGCATACAAGCCTTTAATGCAACCTTTCACTCACACAGAAGTGTTTAATGATGCTTTTAGTGTTTGAAAAAAGCTTTAAAATGATGAAATGCTGCTTTGGGTCAAGGATAATTTGGCAACAAACACATACGCACAGACCAAACTGGCAGATATGACCCATAATAGACTGTAAAAAGCAAGTATAACTGATTTAAAATACAAGTATTTGGTGTTTAGATTTTGAATTTGGTGTCTAGACTCACCCACACACATCCGTGACCCATAACAGGCAGATCTGCGGTGCTGTCGGTGTTCACATGAGGCTCGGGGTTGTGAACGGCACACTCCACCTACCACAAATACATTATTTAGAGATGACTTTTGTTTTTACACGCAGTAACAATAATGAGCCAACTTGGAAAATTACTAAAAGTATACTTAAATACGTAATTTATAGTAAGGTGTATTACACTGTATATATTAGAGTATTAAGACAATTTGTTAATGAATGCTACTAGTATACTTTTGTTTTAACTACAGTAAATTGTGGTGTACTATAGTATAATATACCCTATACACAGCAAAATCCTCAGAGTAAAATTCACTCAGTTTACACAGTATTTGGTCTCTATTACCATATAGGTTTTTAATAAGTAAAGCTGCTGTTTGTGGAGTTGCTTAAAGATCCTCTGCTGAGATTTTGAGAGATTCAATGTATTATATTTCAGCTGATTTCATCTAAGGCTTTGACTGAAGTCAGTTATACGTAGTTCAGTGTTTCTGTATATTATTATCAATCATCACTTAATTTATTTTTTCATTGTTTTATTAACTTGAGTAACTTTAACTCAATTTATAAAGGGATTAAATACTATCTAAATTTAGTAAATTTTACTCAGAGGATTTTGCTGTGTAGTAGGGTTGTCGCGATACCATTAATTCACGTTATGATACTATAACAGCTGAAGTATCGTAATACCAAGTATTGCGATACTGTATTTCATAACTCAAATTTCTGAAAAAAAGAAAATTGTCAGAAATACTAAACACGTTGCACATCACTTCACCTATAATGCATTAGTTCTTTTTGTTTATTTTCTAGATAACTGACCAACAAAAAAAAAACATTAAAATAAAGATAAAAATTATATAGAACAAAATTCTTATAAAAAAGCATTTTTCCAACAAAATTAGGCTATATAAAGTGGTCAAAGTGCTTTTTGGGGCTTTTGATCTATTGTAATTTTATTTTATTTATTAAATTTTTTTGTCTTATCAGGTAAGAACCTAAGTAATTCAAAATTTCCCTTTGTGAGTTGCTCTTTTTTTTAAAGAGATTGTTAGACTGTTGCAGTTGTTATAGCTACTAAATCATATTGACAGGAACAGAATTAGAAAACTAATTCAGATGTGCCTTTGAAATGAAGCATTAGAAAACGTGCATTAGGCTACCATAAAAGGTATGATTTCTACACAATTTTGCTACCTTAAAGGGCTCCACAGAATATTCAGATAAAATTGTCTATTGTTGCACAAACATGTGAGCATTTTAGAGAAAATTTCCAAGTGCAACATCGTGCATTGTAGATAGACCATTAATGATGATACTACCGTTTACAAAGTACAGTGTCACCACCAATATTTTGCAGCCATAGTAACACGATACTAGTAATAGTACTGGTAAACAGAGCAAACCCTATAGCTGTAGAAAACTATGGTATTGGGTAATTTGTTTATAATATTATCGCCACAGCAAGTATAGTATTATCAAAACAGATTAATTCAATTACTTTAGTATGGTCCAAAAACACTATAGTATTTACTAAAAATTACAATACTATTTTTTTTAAATGTGGGAGGATGCAGACATTGATTTTGTCACCTTAAACTCCTGTAGTTTAGACATGACCACTGCCATTTGCTTGAGCAAGAGAGGATGATTCTGCTTTCTCATCTGATTACCATCATCTTCAGCACAAAACCATCCTTGGATGTTGTCCTCCTCTGTATAAACACACTGCATTAGTGAAGCATTACTCAGATTCTATGAAATCAAATGATATTCCCATATGTGGCTTCCAGTTGCCAGTATTTTAATCCATTTGTCTGGCCTGAACTTTGAGTTCTGGCTCGGCAGAGTGATGATTCACAATCTGAACAATATGAAACCAGCCGGCACAAATATATGCTATGAACATCATAGTAAGTTATATTTAAATGTATTTTAAAGGTGTTTAGAAGCAGCTAAAGATATCTAAAGAAAGAGTCACAGACAAAGACAGGATGTAGAGACAGGAGAACAGAAAATGACACCTACGTAAAGCCAGTTTAGCCATCTGCAGATTACTGATCCATGTTTGCTTGATGGATGGACTGAATGTGTTGAAGACTGCAGTGAAAAACGTGGGTCGACCGTATCTGAAAAATTTAAAATTAAACCTACAGTTCAGATTTTTCATTGGAAAAACTTTAACAATAGACATTTGTCTGGATTTACAAATCTCTTGGGTAGTCTGAATATCTCAGCTGGTCTGGCGTCTTGTCAAACAGCTGGAGAAACAGACTGGGTCCCTTCCTGTTTATTGGTGACATTACAGGATATGATTTAACAGTTGGACAGTCTCGATATTAAATCACCAGAACACTTTTCCATACTTGATCATTTGGTAGTTAAGTAATTGTTTATTATGGCTTTTCACAACTTTCACTGTGTCGATATACAGAATAATGACCAGAAGCAAAACTATGACGTCATGTAATCCAAGCTAACTCAAAAGAGTCAACAGCGTACATTTTCCAGCAGTCACAGTGTGTGAAAGAGCTTTATGCTATCAGAGGGATTAGTTTGACAGCTGGGAGTCTAAAGATACTCCTATAATCCAGATACGAAAAATCCAAGCATACAGTCGCAGATAATTGGTGTGTGTGTGTGTGTTTGTGACAACTGCTGCACACTCCAAAGCCCAGCAGGAGGATAATAACAGCACACTGATTAGGCACTTAAGGTCATTCTTAAAGCACTGACTCACATCAAAATAGAGACATGGCAGATTGATCATTTAAAAGTATGGGCTAAAGTTTTGAGAAAATACAAGTAATCTGAATCATAGTATATTCTGCTCCATAATAAAAATAAAAATAATAATAAAAAAGAGCTGTCAACATATTTTTGTCAACATATCATTGTACAGTGTTGCAAGCTGATAGGTCACCTAATCTTCTCTGTCATTAACTACATAATCTTGGTAATCAACTATTTAAATGCTCAGTGTTCTTCTTTACTGTAACGCTGCAGTGCGTTTTTCTGAGACCCTCGTCCACCCCAACTCCACCTGGGATTAGATCTGCTACAGAGGTTACATATATATTATGTTTGCAGCAGCTATGTGTCATATTCTCAGACTACATAGCCCATAATAATCAAAGCAGCAACAGCAAAGCAGATCTATGCCATCAGAACCAAACACTTCGACATTGTTATATACATATTTATTTATCATGACAGAAATATTATATTAAACTATTTTATTATATTATATTTATTACATTATATTATATTATATTATATTATATTATATTATATTATTTTATATTATATTATATTATGCTTCTGATTGTGATCTGAACTAAAACAATTACAAAAATGAGCATGTCAGATCAAATTAAATTCAAGTGTAATCAGAATGTAACTTATCTACATCTATATCTACATCTTACCTATAATACATTACTAACTGTAAATTTGCGCATGCATAGAGTTTCATGACAGAACTTTGTATGATTACATGTAACCATTTAATCCAGGATTTGCTAATGACCACACTTACAATATCATTGCTGCTAATTTTTGTATTACAAGTATAAAATCAGGTACGTTTGACAACTACAGATCCCCATGAATTTTAAATACATTATATGAACATAAGTGTTATATTTCCATATTTTTAGTTCCTTAAAAATAACATTGTCTAAACAACATGATTGTTTGCAACTAAATTATTAAAACATTTCATAGTCAAAGAGCATAGAATCACCACGAGGCGACACTCTAGTGCGATTTGGGAAACAGCCACTAGATGGAACGGCGGCCATTTTGGAATGGAACTTCCAATAGAACAACAGCTTATTTGAATTTTAAAAATGCTGATGATTGTGATAGCAAATGTTGTATTGTCATCTTTCAGGTTGTATCTCAGCTTTAATGCGCTTTTTCATAAATAAATAAATAAAAAACAAAGCAACTGCTTGCCATTGTGACAACAATAAGATCCAATGTACAGCCGATTGCTTTCACTCCAAAATGGCGGATTCTGGGGCTGTTGCTGGGCACTGATGTTGCAATGGAATGTTCTATTGAGTGTCGGCTCTTGTTCATTCTAAGTTCTTTAGCATAGTCTTCAAACAAACAAATAAATGAATTTACCTTTAAAACATTAATTTAGTAAAACACATTAAAGCCTTTACTCACCCTTGTCACACAACATTTTGAGTTTCTCGATTCTGTTGAAATCAAAAGAAGATTTTCCGAAGAAGGTTAAAAACCAGTAACCATTGACTTACATAGTCAATATTTTTCCTACTATGGATGTCAGTAGTTGCTGGTTTTGTACATTCTTCAATATATCTTCTTTTGTGTTCAACAGAAATAAAAGAAATTCATTAAGGTTTGGAACCACTTAAGAGTGAGTAAATTGTAAAATTGTATTTGTTGGTGAACTATCCCTTTTAAATGTTCAAAAATGACAGCAAGATCATTAGCTTTGCTGTTACAGGAATTATTAAATAATTGTTTTCATTTGTGATGAAATTTCTCAACATTTCTCGCATTATGGCAATCTGAACCCAAACTTTTTAGTGTGGGCTTTCTTTAGTGTAAAGTGTAGGTCACACATACTTGTCTTGTTTCCCTGGTAACTGTAGTTGTATCCTACAGCGATCAGCTGCCCGAATCTCCTCCTCTTTCTTTAAAATGAGACGCTGAAGACCTGAAACCCAGTCCTGAGCAACAGTCCCATTAACATTCTGGAGAAAGAATAGAGTCACAAATCAACTATCAGTCTTTAATCATCAACCCAAAAGTGTTTAACGGTGGTCTGAACAATTCACCTGATAATTCCCTTTCAGACTGCTGATCATGGTGGAAATTTGGTTCACCAAGCCCAGGTCATGGATCAGGTTCTGCAGGTCCTGATACAGCTGTCCCGGCCCCATATATAACTTATCTGCAAATAAGACAAAGACAATAAAGACTCATCTGTGCATGTTTAAGCTTAAATAATGAACATCACCGTTCTGTTCATTTAGTTAGGGTGAATTGAAAAACCCTCCTCATTAGCTGGGAGCAATACAGCTGAAACTGAATCATATTCTAGAGTGAATCATTAAACTCTGGTCTCTCTCTTTCTCTCTCCCAAATCCTGCTCAATACAATAGACTGCTTTGTGCTGCTCTGCTTTTCTAAGATAAAGAGAGACAGAAACGTTGAGTGAGGTAAAAGGAGAAAGAAAGAGAGCAAGAACGAATTTTCTAGTCAGAGCTTAAGTAAAGTGAGTCACATTTAAGGCCATACAAAAAGTGCGCACACACACACACACCTACACAAACACTTCTAATACATGCACATACACAAACAATTCCAATGCACATGAAAAATTTTTTTTTACATTTTTAAATAGCACCTGAAATAACACACATTTCAAAATAAATGCTACCATTAGTGTTTCTTCAAATAAAGAGTAGCTAAAGGAGTCCAGGCAGTCTAAAGGACATGTAGCATTAAATGAGCAAACTGAAAAAAAACTATTTTACCCTTATTAAATATAATACATATATTAAAGAAACATGACACATATAATGTTCTTTAACAAGTAAATAATCTAAAAAAATAGACTAAATATTGTCGCATTATCACAATCACCAGCGATCCAGGCTTGTAGCTGTTGGGAGTCACTCACTTTCACTCAGGACTACAAATCTGTCATCAAATGGACTACAAATCCTGTCATGCACCACACACTCTCGCACCTGTTCTGGTTTTCCGCTGATTGCTAACTCATGCAGCTGAAGCTGTTGAGAACTGATTACTTGGACTTTAACGCACGAACGCACACACGAACGCACGCACGCACTCTCTCTCTTTCTCTCTCTCTCACACACACACACGCACACACACACACGCGCACACACACACGCGCACACACACACGCACACACACGCGCACACGCGCACACACACGCGCACACACACGCGCACACACACGCGCACACACACACGCATGCACGCACACACACACACACACACACACACACACACACACACACACACACACACACACACGCACACGCACGCACACGCACGCACACGCGAGTTTCTTAGTCTTGTTAAACTCTACTGTATACATTACGATGCATTTTCCTTGTCTTGCTGTGTTAGATTCTTTCTCTGTTGTATTGTTTATTCCTGCCTGCTGCCTGCCTTTTGATCATCTACCCGTTTACTTACCACGACTCTGGATTTCCTCTATACATCTGTTTTCCCCTACGTTGACTGTTGCTTGCCTGACCTTATTAAAGCTTAATTTTTTTAACCATTCAAATAGTGCTTTGAAAGCACAACAGTCTAAAACTAAGTAACATTATGTATTAGTATTTTTGATCTGCCCTGTGATTCTTAAAATAGATTTAAATTAGCTAATTATTCCGTAGTAAAAACGCTTTTTCTGGTATATAAACTATTGTTGCACTGAATTACATTTTAGTGGTTCTCCATGATAGTCATTATGGATCTGCAAGGTGATAGTCTATTTTTTACAGATGTGCAAAAAAAACAACAGCACAAAACAAAAAAACCAAAGCATTATTAAAGTTAATATTTTTGATGCTTTAAGACTCATAAGAATAATACTAAAATGATACTGAATTTGTTTAGGACCTCTTATATGTGTAGATCCTGTAAAAATAAAGACATTTTCTATCTAATAAACAATTCTGCAAACTGTATAGATGTGCAATGGCACACTGGAACTTTCACAACATTGACATCACCTCCTCTCCGGTTGGCTTTATTCCTCGTGGTTAATTAGATTTGTAAAAGTAAAACAACAGAGAAGAAAGAACGGCTCTGGGAATGCAGGCGCTCTTGATTCAGTCCTCTAGTTTGAATCAGAGCAGCTCCTGCACACAGACTGTTTTCAGTAACCATAACAACACCAGCCTTATTCAACCATGCTGAAAAGTGTTTTTTCGGCCTTTAAACATTGGAGGAATGGCACAGAGAGTCCAGCATGATTTCATTTGTGTCTAAAATGGTTAAAGCTTAAACAAGTTTCCAGATCAGACTTTACAGTACAGCGTTGTACTTCTACAGTGCATTTTTTTTTTTTGCTTAATGTCTTGTAAAATCCCACCGGAGTCTCTTCTTTTGTCACCTCAGCTGTGCTGAAAAGAGCACACGCAATGAAACAGGAAAAACAGTCTTTCCTCTTTTGTTCAGCTCCATGAGTCAGTGTGACCCATTCTCTCCAAACCACAAAAACAGCCAACAGCCTCCGAGGGAAGAAATGACGTCGTCAACGCCAGATGAAAAGAAAGATTGCATCATCAGAGGTCTTGTACTGAACAGGTAAAGTATTATTATGCTATTTCTGTAGTCTCTGACAGCTTTTAGTACTGCAGATTCCAAAGCACAACAGCAACGCATTATGAATATTCATAGTGTATTTAGGGATGAACTGGAACAGCAGGAGGTGAGGAAGCAGACAAAAAAAAAAAAAAAACTCTTCCTTAAAATTCCTGAGGACACAAGTAAACAAGTACAACAGATGATTTTAGGGCACTTCAAAGCAGCCCGTTTGACTTATAAAGAGGGGATTAAGAATATACAGTATATAAATGTAAATATATTCACCAAAAAGCTTCAGAGTTCTCTCCATTACCCTTTTCTCTTCCCATCCCCAGCTTTCACTCTCTCTCATTCCAATTTTCTGTCTATCAGGTTTCGTCTGACATTTTTCCATCAATAATTCATTTTTAAGATCGTACTCAAAAAGCCAGACGTCTGTCAGATGTCAAAATGTCTGGGACACCGGAGAGCATAGTGAACCCTGTCAAACGGCAGTATCTTTACAGCAACATTTTCCATGAAAAACATGGACTCCATGACATTTTTATCTGGATGTGTCAGAAGTCTGACCCTGTTTCTTTCTGAGTAAGTCTGGGTGTTTTAAATGTCACATATGTGCATGTTTAAAAATAAGCCGAGTGTATTGTTGTTTAAGGGTGGTGCAGAATGAATATCTCTCTAAGCACTTCCTACTATTGCTGTTATTTTGGTATTGAGTAGATAATTCTATCAAAACAACTTTCCGCAAACTATCTACAGCAATATTTCTTCTCACAACCCCATTTAAAGACATGCTCTCTATACTTCATGGCCCAGTTAGTGCTTAAATGTGAAAACTTTGGATTTTTAGCCTGGAACCATAACCACCATTTGACCTCGAACTCCAGAAAAATATTAAATTGACTTCTAACACTAAGATTATGTCAAACTTTGAATAGTATTTTCTAGAAAATATGTCAGACATGATTAAGAGGTCAAACTTACAATGCTAAGAGAAAGAAACCACTTTAAAGTTATGCTGATGTAGACATTTTAAAATGTCATTTATAAAGTATAGCTGCAAGAAGCAAATTAATAGCTTTCAATCACTTTGAGGCCAAAAGGCAAATGCATAAAATTATATTATTTATTGTTTATTATTTAATGTTTAGTAAGCCTGTATAAATACATCAATCAGTCATGAAAAGACACCTGCATGCTTTGCTAGAATCATATGGCATGTGCTCACCGAATGTCCTAAAGATCAGAATTTTGAAATTATAGGCATTTGGCTGTATTTGGTGACCAGGCATTGCATGATATACGAGTAAAACTCAATATCGCCACCCAGGGGCTGATATCTGCTCTTTTAACTTTGTCAAACAAGTACTCCATCTCTACTGGCTGAAAGTGAATGCGAGCGGCACACTGGAAAAACACTCCACACACCCAGATTTAAATCAATTGAACTAGTTTCTGCATTCTTCAGATGTTTATCTTATGGTAAAATATGGTAGCTACTGATAAATAACATGAAGCAGATGTGTTTGAAAACATTTTGTATATAACAAACTTACTAGGTTTTGCATTAATGACAACTTTATCTCCAGAGTGTGAGGGTGGAAACCGGGAGTCAACCATCTCCTCGCTGGAGCCAAACTCCACGACCTCCACAAAACTTAACGGTACACTCCACTTGAGCAAGAAACGCTGTCCTGAGGGAACCCCTTCACCTCCAGCTCCAACACTCACACCATCCTGAGATGGCCTGGAGGACAGAAACATGGCATTTATGAAGGAACAAGGTACAACTCAGTAGATTTAAAATTTAGTTTTGGTAGTAATGCTGTGCTAAACAGTTCAGATTGACAGTTATTAGAGATAATAAATGCCTGCAATGGGTCATACCGCCGGTTGGGGGTGGCACACATGAGCACATCGTTCAGGAGAAAGACTCGCCGTTCTTTAGTCTTAATGATCTCCCCTCGATCATTATAAACGGTTTCCACCATGTCATCAGACCGAATCAGATAACGGCTGCCGCTGCTCAGCAGCTGAGAGAGATAAATGGGAGAGAAGCAGAAACAGCAATAAAAGGATTGAGATAGAAATGAAATATTTAAGGCCCTACTTGTCTTAGTCACTTGACTCTAACCTCACTCACACAAAACTAAAAGTAAAATATGCTTAAAAAACGCATATCACAATGAAATATTCATGATATTCTATTATTAGTTAAAAGGTCACCTGCATGCTATAATCTGTTTGCCACAGGTCCTTCCTAATTTTTTAACTTTCATTTTCTATTAATTTAAAGCTTAAGGAACACTGAACAAAGTCAAGTGGTTTCCAGTCCACTAATAAATTATAAATAAATATGATGCCTGCATTTATTCTAATATATTAATTTAGTGCTTTAAAACATTACTTAATAACATCGATGTAGGAAAACAGTCAATATTCATGAAAATCATGATATAATACATTTTTAAAGGCATCTCTTTTAAGACTCTACAAGGATAAAAATGATAAAATGACAATATTCAATTAAAAATGAAATCTTTTGTAATATAAATATACAGCATTTACATTCACATTTGATCAAATGCATTTATTTGATCCTCGCTGACTAAAATCTATATTGTATTAGTTTTATTTATTATTACTCATTGGCTCAGTGCTGACCACATATCAGTGACAGCAGGCCATCACTGAACTCCTACACACCCTGGTTTAAATGCACTGTGTGAAACTTACAAAAGTCACATCATACCTGACTAAGCGGCCACATATTGACATAACAGGTTGAGATGCACAAGTGTGAACAATAAGACCTCAGTTTCTCAAAGCAGAGGACCTGCAGTACCTTGTTGAGGTAATGTTCGTTCATAGCTTTAGCGATGTGTCGTATCTCGCAGCGCTGGTCAGCCTCCTTTTTCCTTTCGTTTAATTTTTCGGCAAGCACTTCCAGTTCAGTAAGAGCCATCTGAAGGGGAAGGCGATCAGCATGGCCCACTGGCGTGTTCTTTAACATGTCCTGCAAAGAAATGCAGAAGATAATGGGTGTTACAGTAGTAAAACTGTAAAAAAAATAAAATAAAATAAATAAATAAATAGCTTTGCCTTTAATGTGATTTTGTGAACTATGAGAAAATTTATTCAAATGTGACAAGGATCAGAAAGAAAGAGGCGCCCTCTTGTGGATATGTTATGAAGTTTTTACAAAATACAGAACTGGATGTGTGTGTGAATGAGAGTTTATGGTGTTTCCCAGTGATGGGTTGCAGCTGGAAGGGCATCTGCTGTGAAAATGTGTAAATGAATGTATGTGTGTGTGTGTGTGTGTGTGTGTGTGTGAGAGTGAAGTAAAACACACTTGCAGCAGCAGAATAAACTGAGGGAACCGCTGAATAGGCTTCATCATCAGTCCATAAAGAGTCAGACGGTCTTTACTTGTCTCCTGGCGGTGCTGTGGACACAACACAAAACGCATTATTTATCCTAAAGCAAAGACTCTTATGCTTATCAAGACATCATTACTTAAAAAAAAAAAAAATTCAATGTGATTTTTTTGTGAACCTCTCTGTAGAAATTTTCAAAAGCTTCTTTTTTTTATTATAGCAAACAATCTCACATTACTGGATAGTAAAAATAGACCAGTAATGAAACACTGTCAGCACAAGGGATGGAAATTTACAAAGATTGTGATTAACGTGAATGAATAAAGTCGATTTGCATCAATGCAAAGTCGATTTTGCAATCAATGCCAGGGGTGTCCAAACTCAGTCCTGGAGGGACGGTGTACTGCAGATTTTAGCTCCAACCCCAATCAGACATACTTGAGCTAGCTAATCAAGCTTTACTAGGCTTTCAATAAACAACCTTGCAGGTGTGTTGAGGCAAGTTACTACAGTAAACAAAGCAAGGTGATGCCAAATCTTGCATCAATTTCAACTACACAACTTAAATTTGTCTATGACAGATATATTTATGTAGTTTTCTGGTTGCGATCATGCTCTCGATCTTATTGTTAACTTTTGTTGGGTTTCCTTGGGGTGCTCTGGTTTCCCCCACAAATCTAAAGACATGCGCTATAGGTGAATTGGGTAAGCTAAATTGTCTAGTGTTTTTGTGTAAATGAGAGTGTATGGGTGTTTCCCAGGGATGAGTTGCAGCTGGAAGGGCATCCACTGCGTTAAACATATGTTGGATAGGTTAGTGGTTCATTCAACTGTTGTGACCCCTGATTAATATAGGGACTAATCCGAAAAGAAAATTAATAAATGAATAAAAAAATAAAAAGATAAAACACAACAACGCATAATTGGCAGATTAAATTCAAGGAAACTTTATCATACAACTAGAAATTGATAATAATCCAAAATTATACACAATTTAAGACCATGTAAAAAAACATGTAAGACTTTAATACTTTTTAAGGGCCTTAAATTTCTTTGAAATGGTTTATGAATTTTTAATACTTTAAGACCCCGATAACATCCTGCAACCAGAGACAGTACGATTACTAAGGCTTACTAAATTCTTAGTGAAAATTTTACAATTCACAGCATCAGTAGACATGCCACTTTTACAGTTTTCCAGTTCAAATTCCCCATTCAGGCATCAAAAACACAACACGAATTTCTTCATGACAGCGACAGAACAACATATCTGTACTCAATCCATTTAAACCACAAGTCAACAAATGTATCCTTTTGGTCATGCAAACTATCCGTAATTTTCTCCATAATTAATATATTTCTCAAAGCATCAATTAAATCTTGTATTTGTGGTAGATTAGGTTGTTACCAGCATATTTTACATGAAGCAAGGATGACTCTATACATATATTTGTTTTTTCTTTCCAAGAAATCCATTGACAGTATACCCAAATAAAGTACCTCAAAGCTGAAATCAATTGGAGTATTTAAGATATTTTCTAAAATGCTATGTATCCTTTTGCAAAAACTTCTAATATTAGGACATCCCCAAAATATGTGAAAATGGTAAGCGTCCTGTGATCCGCAACGCCTCCAACAATTTGAGTTCCTATGGAATGACATTTTCTGATTTGGAGTAAGAAAAAAACAAATATTTCTCCAGCAAAATTCTCTCCAATATAAAGAACAGACAGTAGCCCATTGTAATTTACATATATTTAGTCATTTGCATATTTAACATTTGAAATGATGGTATCACTTTCCTTCTCCAATCTTTCTTTAATGTACAGAGAAGAATCCCATGTAGATCCATCAGTGATCTATAGAATTTAGTTTTAGCTTTTGACATTGGTTCAGCCATATTAGCTAAGGAGAATAATTTAACTAGAGCACTTTTATTTGTATCATCATCTGTGTTTTTTTTTGTTTTTGAAGAAATGTTGCCAGAGCTGAAGATATCTATTAAAGTCCTAATTAATTATTCTATTGAATTAAAATCTAATAAATGTCCTTTATCCATAATTGAACATGAAGTTGTTAGCGTTTTGTAGCCCATATTGTAAAACGCATATCTAAAGTATTTGGTTTAAAGTCATACAAATTCCTTTCTACCTATTTTAGTATTTAAATAATCCTCCAGATAGAGTTGGAAACTTATTTTCAAAAACTGCATAGCAGAACGGGTCTACATGTAATTACTGCACCACAGAAATATTCTGGTATGTTTAACCTTGAGGAAGTCCAGGAAACAGGGTTTAGCGGCGCATGCCTTCCGCACCACTCCCATCGCCAAGCTGAAGTTATTCACATATTCACTGTAAGCGTCCAACACCATAGACTTGGAAAACTGCAGAAGAGACAGAGAAAGGGTGACAGAATACATTAGAAAACATGATGCAGTTTAATAGGATTGTTTTCAGAGGAGGTACAGTTTTTTTTTTTACTGTGAGATGCACACACCTCATAACAGATGATTAAGGGTGGAGAAGGTTTGTACATGTAGAAACTTAAAAAGAGGGTGTGGAAACATGTTCTCAAACAAATCATTTCTACAATGAGATATCTCACCGATGCTACAAACACATCTCCAATCATCTCCAGCTCATCCCAGTCAGATACTCTGCTGGCAAGCGCCATCTGGAAGAGTGCATGACACTGCAGGATCTCCCGAATGCGATGAAACACCACCTTACGCTTGCGGTCACTGAGTAACCGAGGCTCAATTTCTGCCAGAGGATTCTCATACTGCTGTTATGCACAAAGGGTTTAAAAAAAGTGTTCACGTTTTTGCAGCAGGTCAAATAATCCATGCATGCACAATACACAAATTTAATGCAAAGTAAATCAGCAAATTAGGGCAATTACACAATTTTAGTACAAACCTCTAAAATTCTCTTCAGAGCTTCCAAATAGCTCTTCTCGCTCTCCAGAATCTTCTCCAGAATGCATCTCCTCATTACCTGTGCATAGAAAAACAACCAATAGTCACAAACAGACCTGAGCCATTTATTTTAAAGAAATACTGAACAAAGCTTGAACTATTAGCAGAATCGGAAGTAAGAACAATTCAGCATGATTCAAAAGATTTGGGTCAGCAAGAGGTCAAGGGAGTCAAGAAAAAAACTCTCATGCATCCCAATCATCATTTATATTTAATCAGAAAACACAGTGAAATATTAATACAACTTTGAATAGTGGTTTTGTATTTTATTTTTTACAATTAATGTTGAGGGCTACCAATTTGGTATGCACAAATTTGCTCAATTTACTTTTAATTATATATTATTGTTAATTATTAATAATATTCATCCATGTGAAGACACTGATCATGTTATTGATTTCTCACTATAGTTGTTAACAATGATTTAACAAGGTAGGAAACAGAAATATCAATTTGCAGCACTTCCTTTCTATAATTCTCTGCAAGTATTTACATCTTCAAATGATCACTTCTACAATATTTTCACTAGCCGCTAACAATTTTTAACAAATCATGCACTACGATGTACCATGTTTGTGCAGATTATCAACTGTGTAACATAAATCAACTTTCAGGTTTTACTAAGATCATCACCAAATCTACAGCATTTTTAACATAGCTGAAACTATTCAAACCATTTTGAGAGAGTGGAGATTACATTCGTTCTAGTCTTTAGGCACAGTTTTACTTTCCTGTCTGAAAATGCCTTGATTTTCTAATCAAAAAACGTGTTGCTCTAAATGAGGCTTCGGTTGCTTTTTAAGGGGGTTTGTTGGTGACCCCTGCTCTATTATCATTCTAGTATGCCAATTGCTGCTGAAAAAATATTATAGTGCATAATATTTAAGTGTAAACCATACTTTTTTTGATCTTATTCAATTAAAAAAAAAAAAAAAAAAAAAATTATATATATATATATATATATATATATATATATATATATATATATATATATTTTTTTTTTTTTTTTTTTACTTACTAGTGGCATATCAGCTGTTTACTAGTACTTGATACATGGCTCTGTAAAATAATTGATTGCTGCTTGGTCAATCACTAGTCAATATTTCAAGGTATGTTATTCTCTGATACATGTATACGCTTGTGTATTTGTCAGACTGATGTTCTTTTGGTGCCATTGTGCAACCGAATAATAATACAAGAATGTTAGGCTGCATTTTTTATTCTGCAAGCTTTATGCTTACTTTAAGAGCTAGTAAATTATTAAAGTTCAGATAAATGTTTTGTATATAACTGTTTACTTTTGTGGCAAGTAGTTGTGTAATAAGTGTGGAATAGAGCATAAAGCTGGTTGTTATTTTAGAGTAAAACCTTTGAGTCTTATACAGTAGGGCTTATTTGTCTGTTTGCTTTTTGTCAGCAAGAACAACCAGCTGGATGTACATTATCTCTTACTTATAAAGTATATAACTCTGATAATACCTTACTCTGCATTCCTTACTCCTACCCCATAACTAAACTTTACCACAAAAATCACATTAATAGCAGTAAACTAGGAGTTAAAGGAACTATATTTAGTTAATAGTAAATATGTGCTCCCCCTAATTAAGCATTACAAAATGTACAAATACATTTATTTATTTGTTCATTGAGGTACTTATAGTAACTTCTGTTACATATTTAAAATACAAATGAAATCAAAACTAACTATATTATTTTGTTACCTCACATTGCTAGTTTTGTGAACAATTCAATTGTGCATGTCATTAAGAAAACATTTGATTGCCCTTGTAATCTCAAATTAAAATATTAAATTGCACTTCCTGTTTGTTTTTACTTAAATTGTCAGATTATGTCTGTCCGAGGCGATGCAGTGGCGCAGTAGGTAGTGCTGTCGCCTCACAGCAAGAAGGTTGCTGGTTCAATCTCGATAACGTCCTCGGCTGGGTCAGTTGGCGTTTCTGTGTGGAGTTTGCATGTTCTCCCTGTGTTCGCGTGGGTTTCCTCTGGGTGCTCTGGTTTTTCCCACAGCCCAAAGACATGTGGTAAAGGTGAATTAAATAAACTAAATTGTCCGTAGTGTATGAGTGTGTATAACAACTTTAGCTTGGCAGCAGTTCGTCAATAGAGAAAAGGGGCTGTGAGACAGTACCTGGTGTTGAGTGAGTCCGTCAGGCGCAGGTCCAAGCACTGGGTCCACATTAAAACACTCCACCTCAATAAATAGATCTGACTCTTCATCAAAGCAGTTGGGTTTCTTATCTGAGGAAAGAATAATGGGTTAATCAGAAACAATAATCATGATTCATTAAGCTGGAGGTTGTACTATTATCTTTACTCTTACCATGACAGAGAGATCTGGTGCGGATGAATGATCGGCCCTTTCTCACTGCGGCTTTGGTTTTCTGCAAGCCGTCTTTAGTTCCATCTTTGGCAGCTTTTACCAGCCGCTGCATCTGTAGCAATTGAAGTTGAATCATTCAGAAGTTGAACTTTAGTCTGAGTAAACTAAAAATGACAAGGTGGAATTCATTAAAAAAAGATACTTTTATAATATAAAAATCAGGCCATAACACAAAACCTGGTCCTATACCACCACTCTGCATTTCCTGATTTAAAGTGATAGCTCACTCAAAAATGAAAATTCTGTCATCATTTAATCCTCCAGTTGTTTCAAACCTCTCTCAGCTTTTTTCTTCTGCTGAACACAAAACATATATTTTAAAGAATGATAAAAACAGGTAATTACTGACTTCCAAAGAATTCCTTTTCCTACTTTGGAAGTCAATGGTTACCTGTTTCCAACAATCTTCAAAATATCTTATTTTGAGTTTATTACACTGTACAAAACGAGTGATAGCTGCAGAAAGATTTTTGTGATGTGAATTGTTATCTTACATTTACCTAGTTTACCTAGCTTAGTGCATGCGGACTGTTAATTTGTATTTAACTGTATATACACAGAGTTAAAGTCTGAATTATTAGCCCCCCTTTGATTTTTTTTTCTTTTTTAAGTATGCTTAACAGAGAAAGGACATTTTCACAGTATGTCTGGTAATATTTTTTCTTCTGGAGAAAGTCTTATTTGTTTTATTTTGGCAAGAATAAAAGCAGTTTTTAATTTTTAAAAAGCCATTATATGGTCAAAATTTTTAGCCCCTTCAAGCTATATATTTATTGATAGTCTACAGAACAAACCATCGTTTTGGAAAACTGTAACTTGCCTAATTACCCTTTAAATGCTTTTAGCCTGTAAATGTCACTTTAAGCTGAATTCTAGTGTCTTGAAAATATCTAGTAAAGTATTATGTACTGTCATCATAGCAAAGATTAAATAAATCAGTTATTAGAAATGAGTTATTAAAACTATTCAGTTTAGAATAGTGTTGAAATTTTTTTCTCTCTCCGTTTATCAGAAATTGGGGGGAAAATAAACAGGGGCGCTAATAAATCAGGGGGGCCAATAATTCTGACTTCAACTGTATATGTTTTTCCTAACAAAATGAAAATGAAAATTCAAATGCCTAAAAAGATCAAATCATTTCAAAACAACTACCCGAATGATAAATCAAACACTCAAACTATCAAATAATAAATCAAAATGCATACTCAAATGAGAAATCAAATGTATTTGATATTTAATTTTCAAGTGAGTAAAATCCTGTAATAATTAAATGACAAATCAAACCATTAAAACCAAGAACAAAAACAAAAATATTATATGTATTATAACTATATGTGAGATCTGTTTATTTTAAGCCTGTGCACTGTAGATCCCAAAATAAAATGGATGTATAAGATCTGCTGATACTTTATTTTCTGCTGAATAGATTAATTTCTATTCTGCTTAAATGCTTATGTCAGCATCAGTTTAGTTTTTGCTAATCTTTCTATCCTGGTTAAACTGCATTGCGCATGTTTATCGAATATAGCTCAGTGTTATTTTTTTTAGCTGAAAAGAATATAAACTAAAATGCAGGACAAATCATCAGTGTATCCACCCATGAAATTTCATTTGAGTTTTGAAGGTGTTAACAAGACAAACCAACATCTTGAAGAAGAGCAATCCTAACTTAAAACAAAATAATAAAATAAAATAAGACCTTAAAAAATCCTAACAAACATGCATCTATTGTTGTGAATGGACAAAGAAAACATCAACAATGACACAAGGTGAAGGAACATGAAGGCTGATGGGTAAATAAGAGAAAGAGCGACTGCAACCACAGCTCACCAACTGCAAATCTGCTCAATTTATTTTCTTTCATTTTTTTAAATAGTTGTTTGATTATTCTACATCTACAGTATTATATGGTGTGTTTTGCTGTGGCAGACACTGAGGAGAAAACAAACACACGCCACCAATGTTTTCAAACACAGAATGTCATGCGAAGCCAAATGTGAAATGAACGAGAAGCAAAAAAAACCAAAAAACAACATTCACTGTCCACAGAGGACAGCAGCTACATCTATGTAGACATGGACAGATGTTTAGTGAGGATGACGAAGGTCTTAGGGTTGATGAACAGATGAAGGTGAAAACCAGCACCACTAGCACAGAGAAGAAAGAGTCGGACCCACAAATACACACTCCTGGTGTTTTACCTTCTGCTCGTGTTTGTGTTTGAGCTGCTGTAGCTCTACTGTTCCCACTGTGTTTGCCATGAGATCTCGCATCTTTCTCTCATAGTGCTCTTTCAAACGTGCCAGATCTTCAGACAGCTGAACAAGGGCAGAGAACCAGTTACTGTACACAACCGCAATCACTCCTTCATTCCTGTCCTCCATTCAGAGATATCACTAATGTCTATGTGGCATGCTATTGTTTACAATACACAAAGACAAAGGTGAACAAATGTTAAAACTGAATAATTGAATAATTGGGTATTTCTATAAATAAGTTTCAAGAGTTCACACTAGCTGATGATTGATTATAAAGTGCTTTTGACATGCTGGGAGAGAGCCCTGAGCACATAAGATCCTCGAGCCCTAGGCTCTCTCCTGTTTGCAGGGCGAGATGGGAGTTGCGCTCAGGTAGATCTCGAGAACTTCCCGGCTGTTTGAAGCTAGTGAACAATTGTTTGTGCGATTGTTATGAAGATATAACTACTGCATGTCTATAGTGCTTATTTGAATTAGTCAAATAACTTAAGTCGCAACTTAACTTAAGTGGAATGAAACCGGGAGACTCAGGGGAAACCCACGAAAGCACAGGGAGAACATGTAAACTCTGCACAGAAACGTCGACTGGCTTGGTAGGGACTAGAACCAGTGACGTTCTTGCTGTGGGGCAACAGTGCTGACCACAGCTGTGCCGCCCATCTAGGAAAGGAGGAGGAGTAGGGGAGAAGGGGGATTCTTCAAATTAAGATGACTATGGAATGGAACATAGGAATCGTCTGGTAGGTAAATCATAAATGCATAACCAGCCATTAACAATCATAAGCACGTGATCCTTCTGAAATTAGTTAATAAATAACTTCACATTGTAAATTATACAAATTGATTATTTAAAATTTGCTTTGTTTTTACAAAATGTATATCTAAAATGAGCTCTGAAATGTAATAATTTAAATGTTTTAATTTAATTTGGTCACATTTTATTTTATTTAACATTTGGTCAATACTGTGAAAGTCTACTGAGGCATGCTACAATATTATTGCTGACTGAATGTGGAATATTTATTCTTTATTTTACATTACTCTATTTACACTATTATTGTTTTTTTTCCCTCAACATTAGATCAAAACAGCTCCAGGACAACATATAAAACTTAAAAATAAAAACAGTAAAAAAAAAATTTATAAATAAATGAATAAATTAAAAAGGGTGGTATATAGAGTATAATTATTTACATACAGTGTCAACAGTTATTCACTATTTAATATTTATGTTTTATTTAGGTTCTATTCAGCTTTCAGGTCCATTTGGTTGCAGAAGTGTAGAAAGGGATTCCAAGTGCTATAAAAAATCTTTTAACTTCCCTTTAATAATGTACAGTGGAAGTCAGAATTTTTAAAACCCCCAAATCATTTGCCCCCCTGTTTATTTTTCCCCAATTTCTGTTTAACGGAGAGAAAATGTTTTCAACACATTTATAAACATAATAGTTTTAATCACTTATCTCTAATGACTGATTTATCTTTGCCATGATGACAGTAAATAATATTTTACTAATATTATTATATTAATATTGTAAGACACTTCTATACAGCTTAAAATGTCATTTAAAGTCTTAACTAGGTTAATTAGGTTAACTAGGCAGGTTAGGGCAACTAGGCAAGTTGTTGTATAACGATGGTTTGTTCTGTAGACTATCAAAAATATATAGCTTATATATATAATGTATACACACAGTTGAAGTCATAAGAATTATTTGCCACCCCTGAATAATTAGTGCCCTGTTTATTTATTTATTTTCACCAATTTCTGTTTAAATGGAGGGAAGATTGTTTCAGCATATTTCTAAACATAATAGTTTTAAAAACTAATTTCTAATAACTGATTTATTTTATCTTTGTCATGATGACAGTAAATAATATTTGACTAGGTGTTTTTAAAGACACTTCTATACAGCTTAAAGTGACATTTAAAGGCTTAACTAGGTTAATTAGGTTAACTAGGCAGGTTGGGGTAATTAGGCAAGTTATTCTATAATGATGGTTTGTTCTGTAGATTAACGCAAAAAAATATTACTTAAAGGGGCTAATAATTTTGTCCCAAAAATGGTTTAAAAAAATTTAAAAACTGCTTTTAATCTAGCTGAAATAAAACAAATAAGACTTTCTCCAGAAGAAAAATGTTATCAAACATACTGTGTAAATTTCCTTGCTCTGCTAAAAATTATTTAGGAAATATAAATAAATAAATAAATATAAATATAAATATAAATATAAATATATATATATATATATATATATATATATATATATATATATATATATATATATATATATATATATATATATATATATATATATAGCTTAAAGGGGCTAATCATTTTGACAATTAAATATTTATGTGAAAATTTCCTTGCTCTGTTAAACATCATTAGGGTAATATTTTAAAAAAAAATTCAAAGGGGGTTTAATAATTCTGATTTCAATTGTATGTCAATTTTCCAAGAGCAAGATTACCGGACAGTTCCTTGATCCATTGATTAGAAGAGGACTTTTGAGTCTGTATGTGTTAATGCAATGACACGTTTGGCCTGCAGCAAACTAAAATCTATTAGTTTGTGCTTCTTTGTATGCAAAACCAAACTTGGGTAAAGTTTGAAATAGAGAGGAATATTTTCCTCTGTTAATTTACAAATCAAACAAAGAGTCTCCTTCCAGAATTTCTGCATCTCTTAACAATTCCACGAACAATGATGGAGTGTACCGCTTTCTTCTCTGCATTTTGTACACCAGTCAGGAATATTTGGATTGAATTTATTAAGCTTTACTGGGGTAATGTATGTTCTAAAAGCCATTTATACTGCAGTAGTGTACATCTAGTTACATCTACATCATTGCAAATAAGGACATGTGTATGTATGTTATTCATTATTTTATGCCATTTTAAACTGTTTAAACATGTATTAAGAATAAATAAATAAAACTAAAATATTTATTTTCAGAAATTATTATTATTATTATTATTATTAATACAATTAAATAATAATATTAAAAATAAATAAAATGTATAAAAGAACATTAGATTTATAATTTAAATTATTTTTTAAACCTTGAAAAAAATTTAAATAACCCATTTATGAATATTATACCAAACATATATGTGAACAACACACACAAACACACTCTTTCAAATTTTCACAAATCTCCCTTTCGACAAAAGCTTCAAAATTATCTACACTAAATCTGTTCAGTCAGTTCAAAAATAAACCAACTCCCTGGCCAAACATTAAACACACTCACACACTCAAATAAACCTCATCAACTAAATCAGGGCCTACATACACAAATAAAACTGAAGTAATTACGTGCAGATTAAAGTCTTTTCTCACCGTTTCCAAATACTAGCATGAGCAAATGTGCAAAACCAAAGATCCAGACATCTGTTGAGACTACACTCACGCATCTAAACTTCTACATCTCAGATGTTCAACGCAGCATAATAATATATCACAGTTTTACAATGTTTACCGTTTTCTGATCCAACAAACACAATAATCATGCTTCTTTTAAAAGCATACAAAAATCGTACTGATCCCAAACTTTTGACAGATAGTGTATATTAGACACAGAGAGAAAAAACAAAACAGTGAAAGACAAAGAGGATTAGCAGTGCTGCAAATACACACATGTGTTTTCTTGCTGGGTGCACGGCCCCTGACGAAGGCGTCCGGGAGGCCGTTTTCTCCATGTCCGTTCTCTACGTCACTGTTTTCCTCATAGCTCTCAAATTCGCTGGAGCTCCAGCCATTGTCCAGCGAGCTGCTGCCACCCTCCTCCCCGAACTCAACGTCATCATAGATCATCTCATCTGGGTCTGACAGCAACACAGTGCTTACATTAGACTAAGACGGTCACTATTACATCCAGCAGCAACAGAGCTGTCGGTCACATGACACATTTTTATTGCAGAGAAGGCATATTTTACTCTCAGTTTTCATTTCAAAGTAAGAGGCATCTTTATTGTGCAATCAAACAATGTCCAGTCACATGAGGAGTATTCTCACAACATACTGTTAAAGGCAGAATTATTAGCCTTCCTGTGAACTTTGAATTATTTAACAATTTATTTAACAAGTTTTTCCTCCTCACATTTTTAAACACAACAAATAGCTAATTTTTAAAGCTAATTTGTTTGGTCTTTGCCATGATTACAGTACGTAATATTTTACAAAATACTAGTATTCAACTTCAAGTGCAATTTAAAGGCTTGACTAGGTAAATTAGGTTAACCAAGCAAGCTAGGTTAATCAGGCAAGTCACTGTATAACAGTGGTTTGTTATGAAGCCCATCAAAAAGTAAGTAATATTAAAGGGGGCACATAATATTGAAATATAATAGGAAATACTGGGCCGATAATTTTGCCTACAACTGTACATACTTGGCGCACATGATTAGTTGCATGTTAAGTTTGATAGACAGTTTTAAAGACATTTCTGTATAAAAATACACATTAAAATTAGCTTTAGAAAGAAATTTTTGGATTCCACATACAATTTAATACACATAACACTGTTACAATGCTGTGGTTTTTAATCGCTTATAGTTACAGTACATCTACATATTTCACTGTTTAGATACATTTTCAGACTATTGACTACTTACAGTAACAGCTAGTAAAACATAAATTAACAGACTATTGACAATTTAGCAGCCTTCAAATGATCAATTTACAGACTATTGACTATTTAGCAGCTCCTAAATGATGAATTTACAGACTATTGACTAGTTAGCAGCTCCTAAATGATGAATTTACAGACTATTGACTATTTAGCAGCTCCTAAATGATGAATTAACAGATTATTGACTATTTAGCAGCTCCTAAATGATAAATTAACAGATTATTGACTATTTAGCAGCTCCTAAATGATAAATTTACAGACTATTGACTATTTAGCAGCTCCTAAACGGCTTGGTCACCAACATTCTTCAAAATATTGTTAGGTCCGTTCACCAAAAGAAAGAAATTATAACCATTTTGAATGTAAGGAGTTAAAATGACAAAGTGAAGTTAATGATTATGTACATTTTTGGTTAACTAAGACTTTGTTTTTTAATATTATGTTCATAATCATTTCATATTTGTCGTATGAAACAATCCTCTAAATAAAAAACTTAAATTGGCAACAGGTGGCAGTAAATATATATTGAGCAAGTCTTTGAGACATTTATTAATATAAGCAACTGATTCATGCAGCAATGAACAACTCTTTATTTGAATGGATCGACTCCATTTATTCATTGAATTCATTAAAAATTCAGATTAATTACTTAAGGAAACATTTATGAGCTCTCTCTCCATCACAGAAAAAAGTAAAGAAAACTAGATAGTCAAAAAATAAATAAATTGGTAAGACTATGAATAAGAATCTGTTTAAAATACCTGTTGTGGATCCAGAGTTTTCTCTTGGTACATCATCATAAATCACTTCATCTGGACCTAAAACAAACACAACCAAGTAAACAAATGCACATCATCCAAAATATCATGTCTAACTAAACAAAGCCGCAAAGACTGTGAGTGTACAGTGCTTGCTAATGAAAAACCCTGAGCTGAGAAGGAAGGAAATGTCTGAGATTCTCCCCAGAAAGAGGAAACAGCTGAACGAGGCAAACAAGACTTCTTCCATTCACATTAAATCAGGCTAGCAAAATGTGAACAACTTACTCTCCATCCAGGCTGTGTTTGCTGGGTCTGAAACCCACTTAGTAAGAGCGTCTTCCTCTTTGATGACCGGACACTCTTCACTAAAAACACTGGACAAACCAATAGCAATAATTATAAACAATTCCCTCAAAATATCCTTGATTGTTTTCATTTTGCTATTCAAATATTATAAGCACAAGAAGTGAAGTATTTCTGACATAATAATGCAAAAACAAAGCACACACACATAAGTGCAGAAAAAAGAAAATCACTGCAGTACAAGGATTTTCTACAAAAATAATAGATATCAGAAGTAAAGCAGTACTGTACACATGTGCACATCACTCACCTGTCCACAGGAGTATTTACTGCTCCAACAACAGTTACTGCAGGACACATCAAGAGAGACCATGCATTACTTAAAATGCCATGTAAACGCATTGAAATAGGTTAAATGATTAAATAAATAAATAATAATAAACTGCATAAAGCTGAGTTTAGACTTATTCAGATCAGGGTTTTAATGCCATTGCACCACACAGAGACAGTAATGTGGTATTCTAGAAAAATGTTTTTATAACTGTAAAAACTTTGTACCTGTTAGGCACTAAGCTTAAATGACTACAATAATAATTGTGAATGGAACTTGTATATTAAATTAATTCATTAATTTTCCTTTGGCTTAGTCCCTTTATTCATCAGGGGTCATCACAGTGGAATGAACCACCAACTTATTCAGCATATGTTTTACACAGAAGATGCCCTTTCAGCTGCATGTAAACTCCACACAGAAATGCCAACTGAGCCAGGACTCGAAATAGCGACCTACTGGCAGTGAGGCGACAGTGCTAACCACTGAGCCATCGTGTCACCTTGCATATTAAATAAGCAACAAATATTATTATAATTTTGTATCATTTTGTTCATTAACATTGCTATCAATACTTCTATGGATCTTAAACTGCTACAAACAAAAATAAAGAAATGGTTATTTTAATCTATTACCAGACTACTAAAGTGTGCACAAGTTAATGATTTTTCATGTGCACATACACAAGAAATAAATGATATACACAAGCACAATTAATTTTTTACACTCTTTAAATTGATTTACTAAATAATAATATAAATACAGCCATAAATATGCCTGTGTATGTGCACATAAAAAGTTGTACATTTTTTTTCTTTACTTTTTCTATTTGACAAACTCAGATATTGTTGTTCTATATTTTTTATAAAAATATAAAACAAAATTATATATAAGAATAATAGCAATGCTACTTTGGACAAATCTAAAATATAGGATTTGTTTAATACTTGCTTGACAATTTTCATACTTTTTAGCATTTGGTATTTACACTCATCGGCCACTTTATTGGGTACACCTGACAAACTGATCGTTAACGCAAGTTTCTAATCAGTCAATCACATGGCAGCAACTCAATGCATTTAGACATAATCTACTGTACGCACAATATGTCCAACCTTAAGTTGAATGGCCAGCAGAAGACCACACCAGGAGCCACTCCTGTCAGCTAAGAACAAGAAAAACAAGGCTACAGTTCACACAGGCTCACCAAAATTGGACAATAGAAGATTGGAAAAATGTTGCCTGGTCTGAGGAGTCTCTATTTCCGCTGCAGCATTCAGATGGTAGGGTCACAATTTGGCGTAAACAACATGAAAGCATGGATCCATCCTGCCTTGTATCAACAGTTCAGGCTGGCGGTGGTGGTGTAATGGTGCTAGGGATATTTTCTTGGCACGTTTTGGGCCCATTAATACCAATTGAGCATCGTGTCAATGCCACAGCCTACCTGAGTATTATTGCTAACCATGACCATCCCTTTATGACCACAATGTACCCATCTTCTTATAGATACTTCTAGCAGGATAACGCGCTATGTCCTAAAGAGCAAATCATCTCAGACTGGTTTCTTGAGTTCAATGTATTCAAATGGCCTTCACAGTCACCAGAACTCAATCTGTATATAGTAGAGCACCTTTGGGATGTGGTTGAACGGGAGATTCGCATCATGGATGTGCAGCCAACAAATCTGCAGCAACTGCGTGATGCTGTCATGTCAATATGGGCCGAAATCTCTAAGGAATATTTCTAGAACCTTGATGAATCTATTCCATAAAGGATTAAGACAGTTCTGAGACAGTTCTGAAGGCAAAAGGGGGTCCAACGTGGTACTAGTAAGGTGTACCTAATAAAGTGGCCGGTGAGTGTATTTATGGTTTTAGTATGTTGCTTTAATGATAGTGACAGTTTAAAATAACATTTAAAATCAAGCTATCAATTATTAAAAAAAAGCTAAAAATGTTGTATGGTATACTTTTGACACTGGATAACAATCAGGCTGCTATTACACTTTGCAAAAAAAAAAAAAAAAAAAAAAACACAGGAAACCTCATCACAGCCAACGCCACAGCTAAATTTACCCCCAACTTCCTCATGGCAAAACATCAGAAAAACAAAAGCAGGAGAGCATGAAAGAAGAAAATCACAAAGAGAGGGAATATGTATAGTGAAGGTGAAGCCCTCTCCCGAAATAAATAAATAAATAAATAAAATAAAATAGAAAGAGACGGGGAAAATGCCTTTCTTTACCATCTTCATCCATAGAGAAGTGGCGGATGAGAACTGGGGTGGTGTAGGTTGGTGGGATCACTGGCACATTTGAAGGCGTTGCATAACCACAGGGCACTGGCACTGAATACCCAGAGGACAACCCTGGGCTACCTAACACATCCTGAACAACTCCTTCAATCTGATTGGCTGAGGGAGAGGAGGGCGGACCGCTCTGCTCTGATGGCAGCTGCTGTTGGATGGGGCCGATGTCGATCACAGAGTAGGGGCTCACTTTGGGCTTGGAGGAGCAAACCACACTGGCACCTTTGTTTTCTAGTGATCAGAAAGTACAGTGACTTATTCAAAAATGCCTGAGACAATCCGGGCCCTGTAGGAAAACTGTATCGTCTTACACAGAAATCTTATGTGTTGTTGTTTGTTTAGAGTTAAATTCAGCTAATAAGATCTTATGAAATATATGTGGGAGGAATTCCTGAAAGAAAGAAGTCATATTCAAAACTTTATTTAGGGTTAGAGATAAGAGAAGAGGGTAGACTGAGAGAGATAAAAAGACAGATGCAACCTCAGAAACCATTTCAGGAAAAAAAGCAAGCGAATGCCACCAAAAAGACTGTAGATTTGATTTCCAAGCAGTTATATGCAAAGCTGTTGTAGGTGAAATGATAAGGCCATACTTTACAATAAATTTTCATTAGTTAATGTATTTCACTATATTACTTTATTACTTATTACTACTAACATGAACTATGCGAGTATGAGCAAGACTTGTACAGCATTTATTATCAATTTAACATTTACAAATGCATTATTAAAATCCGAAATCATGGTGGTTAACGTTAGTTAATGCACTGTGAGTTAACATGAACTAACAATGAACAACTGTATTTTCATAAACTAATGTCAATTAACATGAATAATACTGTAATAAATGTATTCATTGTTTGTTCATGTTAGTAAATTCATTAACCAACATTAACTAATACAACCTTATTGTAAAATTTTACCATTTTCACACAGTTTTAAAACACTTGACCAATTAAAACTAGCACATTTTCCTGTATTTTGACATTGTTTTATTTACACTTTTAACACCATTGTGGGTCTTTCATTTCTGCGCTGACAACTTTTAAAGTTAAAAAGTTTAACAAAGAGACCTATATTGACTGTTTTGTAAAATGGTCACATACATATTTCAGTACAAAAGTAAAAAATGATCTGCCATTGCTTTTCCTGTTAATTTGCAGGATGATTTCTAAACAGTGCATGTCATTCTAAATAAATATACAGCTTTAAACTAAATTTCAATAAAAACTAAATCACTTTGTTCAGCTTTAGAGTCAAATTAACACCTAGATTTGTTGTAGCATAAATCAAGTTGGAAGCTTAAATAAGCATTTATAAAAAACAATAACATGCTAACACTGGAAATAAATATAGAAAATGTTTAATTAACATGTTTTACAGTATAATAATTTCCATTTCATCAATTCATTCATTCATTTTCTTTTCGGCTTAGTCCCTTTATTAATCTGGGGTCACCACAGCGGAATGAACTGCCAACTTATACAGCATATGTTTTATGCAGCGGATGCCCTTCCAGCTGCAACCCATCACTGGGAAACATCCATACACACTCATCCACACTTATAAACTACGGACAATTTAGCCTACCCAATTCACCTATACCACATGTTTTTTTGGACTTGTGGGGGAAACCAAAGCACCCGGAGGAAACCCACATGAACACAGAGAGAACATGCAAACTCCACACAGAAACGCCAACTGACCCAGCCGAGGCTCGAACCAGCGACCTTCTTCCATTTCATAAAGGTTTCTATTAATTTCTAACTATAATATTGAATTGGAATGCACACAGAATTGTGGGTTGTTTTTCCCTTTCAATTTAAAAAAAAAGTGCAGTCAATAGCATGAAAATACTGAGGATCTTGTGATTTGTCTTTAGAAAGCAAAATTGGATCTTAAAATGCTTTATGGTAAACTGTGATATTGTCAGTTCTCTGTATTGTCACTAAAATTCTCCTTTGAAATCCAAATATTGGTAAAAAGAAGAGATTTTTTTTTTATATTCACTGCATATGTGATGCTCATCTTTGGTATCTCTTGTAAAAGTGTAGAGTAAACAAGCTCCATATTATTAAATGAAAGCATATACAAAAGATCTAAATCAATAATGATAAATTAGTATATAAATAACACATAATCCTTTTTACCAAACACAGATTTTGTTGCACTTAAAGGGATCCAAAGTTTTACAAATGTTTTTGTTTTTTTGACAAACACAAAGGAACATATTTTGAATAATGTTGGACAGCGGTGTCCCTTTGACTTCCCTAGTAGAAAAAAATACAACTGATCTCAGTTTTCTTCCACTTTCAAAAATTCTTCAAATTATCATATTCTGAGCTCAACATAAAGAAAAAAACTCATGAATGTTTAGAACAAATTATGACAAAATTTGATTATCCCTTTATCCCACTTCAGTGCTCACTGTAAACTCACCGTCTTGCTCTCTGTGAACATCAGTGCCCTCTGCTGGTGGATTGAGGTCTATTTTCCAGCCCTCTGCTGCACCGGGACAAAGTTCAGTGGGAGGAGGAGGAGGAAGAGGAGGGAGATCAGACTGTTTGAACAGCGCTTCAGCCAGAGGCCTGTTATTAGCGGGGAAGTCCTGAGGCGGAGGGGGCAAATCTGCCTCTGCGTTGAATGTGTGCTCTGGGTTTGGACTTGCCTCATTCACGGGTGCGTCTCTGACTGAGGAAGAGCAGGGTGGAGGAACGGAGATTCCCTCAGGTTCAGGTGGAGGCCGATCCGCCTCGGGGGCTTCATCACCACTGTCATCAAACTCAAATCGTTCACCTTCATCTTCGTCATCCAACACTACAAAGCGAAAGAAGAAAGAAGTTAATGGCTTTTGTTAAATTATTTTATTGATGCAGTGTCTTATGTTAAACACTGATTACACTGTAAAATATTTAAATCATAAAAAGTCAAAACAACAAATACTTTTGGTGCTTTAACTTATTTTAATAAGTTAATCAGGTTTCAACAAAAAAATGTAAGTTATACAAAGATTAACTTAATATTTTAGTCAGTTTGATTGATGCAAGTTGAGATGACAAGAAACAATTGATTCAACAATAAAAAAAAGCAAGATTTTCTAGAAACTGTAAACATTAAATATTATTTCAAAAAATATTTTATGTGTAGTATGAACTCCATATGTCTGTAGTGAACGAAACATGGGGTGCATCTTATAAAAGGGCAAGGTGTTGTCTGAAATCTTACAAAGAGCTGGCAGAGCTTTCTCTGTGAAGTAGTGGCAAGACTGCATTTTAAAATCGAGGTTCTACATTTGTTTTTGAGATGTCTAATCAGGTTTGTCGTCTTAAATGTAGCCTTTTCCTTTCCACCTCTTGCAATGCCAAGTCTACATATCTCACAATGTGTGCAATGGCAATGTTGTTATCATCAACTTTATAATACCTCCAAACTGCAGATATACGAGATAGGATACATAGCCAGCCGCAAGTGTGATATGCACTTCAATATAGAAGCATTTTTATGACACTGTTTAACAATAATTGGTCACACTTTACAATATGGTTCATTAGTTAATGTTAATTAATGCAGTTACTCACATGAACAAACAATGAACAATACATTTACTACTGTATTTGTTGATGCTAGTTAACGTTAGTTAATGAAAATACAGTAGTTCATTGTTAGTTCATGTTAACTCACAGTGCATTAACTAATGTTAACAAGCATGGACTTGGATGTTAATTACTAATTATCAGTAGTAAATGTTCAAATATGATTAATAAATGCTGTAGATGTGTTGTAAATGATTAGTTCATGTTAGTAAATGCATTAACTAATGAACCTTATTGTAAATTCTTACCCAATAATTCATATTTTTACAGTACTGCAGTGGTTGGGTTTACAGTTAGGGTAGGGGTAGATGTTAAAAAATACAATTTATTGGGTAATTTAATAGAAAACATAATACTTGGTATAACTACTGTTTTTACATTACTGTGATGGTTGGGGTTAGGGTGGGTGGGGGTAGATGTTAATAAAATACAATAATGGAAATGTAATAAATAATATAAATAATTTTTCGTGAACTTCCAGACGCAACCATATCTGATCTAGCAACAACACAGACATGCTTGCACTTTCCGCTTCAAGCTGCTTCCATGTTCTACTCTAGGGGTGTCAAATTCAATTCCTGGAGGGCCGAAGCCCTGCACAGTTTAGTTCCAACCCTGCTCCAACAAGCCTGAAGGACTCAATTAGTTTGATCAGGTGTGTTTAATTAGGGTTGGAACTAAACTGTGCAGAGCTGCGGCCCTTTTGGGACTAAGTTTGATACCTGTGTTCTACTCAACCGGCATTTAACCAATAGTGTCTCTTCAACAAAGCAATGTCATGCCTTGACATTGTTTCTGTGTTAAGTCAAGAAAGAGGTCCAACTCTGTGCCACCGCATAACTATAGATGTGTTAAAAAACAATGAGATATATACATACAGCATATATAATCGAGTCCTAATTGGGAGGTAACATCCACTTCCGATCAGGTCAGAAACCACGTGATCGGGCCTGATTTCCAATCATGTGATTGGATCTGGACATCCCTAATATTATATATTTTTCACCACAATACATTAGAGTTATTTATGTTTAACTTACTTTATTTAAGCCTAAAAACAATAACTAGAACAACATTTTACTATGATTTACAGAAAACAGACAAACTTAAAATGTCCTATACATACTAAAATCTAGCCAAGCATAGACAGAACAGAAAGCCTTTTAGTTTTGCATATTTCCACTCAAAGACTGCCACTAAAGTTGACAAACGATAAGTTAAAAATGGCCCAGAATAGACTGCGAGTAAAGATTGTGTGTTTGAGGTTTGTTGCCACCCTCCTCTCTGCCCACCCGAGGTTCAAACAGACACATGTTCAGATTTTAAAGAGTAAACTCTAATTTTAGGGTGTGTACAAGAACGCTCTGCTCAAACCAGATCTCAAAGTCAGAGTTCCACATGTCACCAAGTTGTAAAAGAAGAGGGAACAGAAAAGAGAGCGAGTGAGAGAGGGAGATAAGAAAAAGAGAGACACTGGGGTACAGGAAGCACACTTGTGCTGAAAGGAAATTGGGTCAAAACTGCACACTGCTTATTTTCCACAGGGCTGAAGAACTGAAGAGGAAACATGCCTACTGGGACCAGAGAACAAAAGAGAGAGGAAAAGACAAAAAGTTAAACGCTCTGATCAAACAGGTCATACTCCTGTAGCCTGGTTTGTTCAATACATGCTGCTATTACACAACAGACCTTTGACGCTACATTAAAACAAATTCACAACAAAAAGAAAATCATGGTATCTTCATTTAGTCACTAATGTTGTACCTTGTTTTTAATTTTTCCCACTGAAACGTGAAAATGAACATTTATTAAATCTTTTTAAATCCACATAATGCACACTAAAAAAATATTTTTGCTACTTGTTTAAACTACTTATTTAAAATAATCTGAATCAACAATTTTTGGGTTCTTTTTGGGGACATCTCAATTTTTTATGTTTAGTCCACTTAAATTTGTGAAAATTATTAAGTCAACTTAATCGATTTGTGTAAGGACAACATGAAGGAATAGGGTGGAACTACGGTTTGGTCGATAGACAATGCCATCGTCCGCCATTGGCGTCCGCCATTGGCCGATAGACCTCACAATGCTAAGCGGACATCGCAATCCTCCGCCCCGACAAAGTCACAGCAGCAACTCGCTCACAAAAAATATATACTTAGGTCCCTTAGTTTTAAAATGGCATTTTAAAATGAAAACGATCCACATCCACAGTGGCGTTTCACCTAGTATTTCTGAACAGCTCTCCATCCACACTATACTGCTGTAAATGCACATCACGTGAGCACACGGGCACGTCTGAGCTCCAGGCAGTCAGCAGCCGGTGCTTTGAGCACAAAACCCCAGAGAGCAGTGCACGTCGAACAGTTCATCAAGTATGTACCGCCAGATCGCGTCTCACTATAGTTGTTAAAAGTGATATTTAATTCATCTCGTCTCTATCTAATGACTCTTGGGTCTTTTGAATTTATCAGGTAAAGTGTCACAGCGTCAGTCAATCTTTCGCTTTCATGCATGTACTTAGTAATTTTAGTGAAAACCTTAGATACTGTTGGTTGGTTCCTGTTGGTTGTGTTCCTGTTTTTACCAAACAAAATTTGTCGACGTCATTACGACACAGATCACTACAAGGTGAGTAAATGAAAGCAGGACAATTATTTTAGTGGTAAACTATGCTTTTAAGCTCACAGTTACTGCATAATTTCAATGCTCACAAAGTCACACTAATACTTACAAACTTGTCCTTTTGTTTAAGATGAAGCCAGGTTTGGAACAATATAAAGTATGAAGTTAATGACAGAATTAAATAAATATATTATTAATAATACTAGTATAGGGACCAATTCTCACAGTTAACAACCTGTTTATTAGCAGGCATATTATTAAAATATTGGCTGTTTACTAGTACATATTCTTCATGATCTTATTTTACATCTCTAATCCTAATACATAAATCATACCTTTCAATAAGCAGTGAATTAGGGGTGTATTGAAGCAAAAGTCATAGTTAATTCTTTGTTAATTTATAATTGAACCTTAAAATAAAAAGTGACCATATTTTTTTGCTTATTACTCAATCCTTTTAGGAGAACCGAGTAGTCTCTTAGTCTCTTTTTCCACCCTACATCATCAAAAACTGAAAAGCGGCTTTACGGTATGGATGAAAGATGAAAAAGGATGTCCCGGGGGATAAGAGAAGACACAGACAGGGAGCAGTGGACGGTGTGAGGCTATTATGAAGCAAACACTTGGCAGTTCATGGATTCTCTTGACCCAGTGACTCACTCTTTAGAAATGTGAGTAATGTGAGAGCTCTTTTCCTCCATTCAGCTCAGAAACCCCTGTCCAAATCACAGCCTCCTCACGGGCCTGAAGCACACAGTGGCCATTATACTGCACTACAGTAATTAAACATAGTTCTACAGACAGCTTATTTACAAAAGGAGAGAGTGCACCCGAACAGAAACATCTCTAAACCGCTAAAATTCATTACATAGAGTCCTAAATAATGTTTGTTTTTCCTCTCACATGGATAATGAGAAAAGTGGTGAAACTGGACCTCTGCCCAGGAAAGCATGTTTGAGCTGACGGAAACGGTTATCTCTTAAAGTGGATAAATCCAGCGCAGCGCACTGGTATGAGTTTGCTCACTGGAATAGCTCAAATTCCAAACATAGTCAGGCTCCCACTTGAGGCGGCATAGTCCAAAACCAGCCCTGACTGACCGATTTCTCATTTAGAGCCACTTAAAGCAAGCTGCGCACGTCTTGCCACAAGACAAATTGAGGAGGAAGATTTCTTTTATCATATGATATAACAGTGGGCCAATAAACTTGTGTGTTTAAGTTAAATATGAACAGTACATGAACATGGACATTAATATAAGTTTTAATTTATTATCATGATAATACAGATCAAATAGTTTTACTTTACCATTGTGTTGAATACATATGAGAAGAACATTGTGAATATGTTAAGAGGAAATAAAAAAAAGTTGAAAAGAATACAAATCAGTATAGAGCCCTCTTTAAAATGTTACTTCGGGGGCTGAAGAGTTGACCAAGTTTTATTACACTGTTTTATACATTAGCGTTAAAAAAAAGTATTTAAAAATAATTATTAAGCAAAGGAAACTGAATTAAACTAAAGTGACAAAGTTTGCAATAGAAAAAATATTTATAATATTAACAAACAATCGCTCTTTTAAACATCCTATTTCATCAC